GTTGAGGATTCAATTTTCAATCGATTGGCAACCGTTTCATCCCTTCGTCCTCATTAGGGAAGGAGAAATTGATTGTTATATCAAGGGCAGGATTCCGCCGCCCGTCGGCATTTCGAACTGCGGTAGGTTTCCCTCACCTACTCGACAGTGAACATCACCGCTCGCTCCGCCCTCCGATTCCCCCATACGCGTTCCCCCCCACTCTGCGCCGTTATCGACGCTCTCACAAGCTCCCTGTTTTACTTACAGGTACATACTCAAAATTAGTTCTGCGCCACCGCTACGAAATTTTGCGGTTGAAGCGTTTCTATAGGCGCTAGCAATCTCCCTTATAATCTCTGGTTGGACGGTCCTGTATTCAAGGGCTTCTTCCAGCAAAGTATCCAATTGGTTAGAAATAAATGAAGAGCTACTATGCAATGATCAGATGCAATTTCCAGAAGTTAGTGCGCAATTTCCGAAAAAAATTGATAACAAAAGAGTATCGTGTACTTCGAATACTGCGCTGTGATTGGCTAAAATCCAGTCCCGGAAAATTCTCTATTGAATTCGCTAGGTTTTTCTATGAATTTTTTTTTCGTGATTAAATCATTTTCAAATTGCCACCGCTGTCAGCCCATAAAATACTGCTGAAAATGATTCAACTGAACTGTAAAAAATCAATTTTCATACCTTATTACTAAAAACTTCTCTGAAAATAGGAAGATGCCTCTCAGTCCCAAGACTCAGCATAGCGTTTCCAAAAACATAGCATCCCATGGCCATCTTCACAGCGAGAGCAGGTTTGAAAACACTAAGAGCCTCATGGAGATCCAGTAAATATCCTGACTAGAAACAAAAACGTCAAATTGAATATAATTACGATTTATGTTTCATTATGTCTAATAAAGCGTACATTATACTTATCGTGTTTTTTGAGGAAAATAAACAATTAAAATGGTACATTTCGTTACGAATGAGATGGAATTTTCACAAGTGTAAAGTTGGTGGTCCAAGACCAACCCGGGGGCTGCCCAATCACACAAGTTGAAAATTCCCGTCTCACATGTGTCGAACAATATTTTTCATCACGCTGTGCGAAAAAGTAACTTTTTAGGCACGCTTCGCGTGCCTAAAACGTCCCTTTTCCACACATTGTGATGAAAAGTATCGTTCGATACTCGTGGGAAAAGTGCCCACGCGACTCGCCTTAGGCTCGTGCTATAAACCTCCCACGAGCCAAAAAACTCTTTTCCGCACTCGTAACGAAATATACTATTTTGATACTGCTGTTACGTTCACCTCGCGCGAAAAGTGCCTTTTGGGTTACTCGTAAACGAAAATTAAACAAAAAAAGACAGTTCGGCCACTCACTGGACGTAACATCACTGTCAAAAAATATTGTTCGAAACATGTGCGACAGGAATTTTCAGCACGTGTGATTGTTCCAACTTCACACTCGTGAAAATTCTGTCTCATTCGTATTGAAATATACTATTTTGACACTGCTGCTACGTTCACCTCATGCCGAAAAAGGTTTTTTTGTTCACTCGTAATTAGTCATTCCTAAACACTAAAAGCACTCTTTCGTCAGGCTGACAATGAAAAAAATTATAGCAAAAAGAATGCTCAAGAAAATAAACAGGTGTCTAAAAGTCAACTATTGAATATGACCTTCTCCTTGTGAGGAAAATCAATGAGGCCGGGAATAAATTTGAGGTGATCCATCCTTGCTAATTGCTTCGCTGTTATCCTCTTTTGTTCATCGGTACTTAAATTGTAAAAGTGAATCGGCTGGAAATCCGGATCTTCTTCCATTGCTTTCCACAGTGTTCTCTGTAGAAAGAAAATGAATTTTCCTATGAGTTTCCTATCAAGACTGAGTGCGATCAAGAAATAAATATCATTTATGTCATTAGGCCCGATAAACCGCGATTCTAACCTCGCTTCGCTCGATTAGATCGCGGTTTTCGGGCCCAATCACATAAAATATTGTATGCCACACGGCGATAAAAGTATTATCTGACGAATGTGCTTATAATCCTCGCCTTCGGTTCAGATCATAAAGCCACATTCGCCAGATAATACTTTTATCACCTAATGACATAATCTACTATTTCATCACACAGTCCGTAAAATATCGTTTACGGACATTGTGAAGAAATAGTATGTTTCGTCATTAGGCTGAAAAAAACTTTTCTGGCGAATACGAGTTTGCCAGAAAATCATGCAATCATATGTGCTCGAAATAGTATATTTCGTCATTAGGCCGAAAAAAACTTTTCGGGCGAATATGAGGTTTGCAGCACGCGCCGAAGGCGAGGGCTACAATCATATTCGTCAGAAAAGTTTTTTTTGGCCGTATGACGAACAATAGTATATTCCGTCATTAGGCTGAAAAAAACTTTTCTGACGAATATGATTGCAGCCCTCCCCTTCGGCTCGTGCTGCAAACCTCATATTCGCCAGAAAAGTTTTTTTTGGCCGTATGACGAAGAATAGTATATTTCGTCATTAGGCTGAAAAAAAATTTTCTGGCGAATAGGAGGTTTGCAGCACGAGCCGAAGGCGAGGGCTGCAATCATATTCGTCAGAAAAGTTTTTTTTGGCCGTATGACGAAGAATAGTATATTTCGTCATTAGGCTGAAAAAAAAATTGCTGGCGAATATGAGGTTTGCAGCACGAGCCGAAGGCGAGGGCTGCAATCATATTCGTCAGAAAAGTTTTTTTTGGCCGTATGACGAAGAATAGTATATTTCGTCATTAGGCTGAAAAAAAAATTGCTGGCGAATATGAGGTTTGCAGCACGAGCCGAAGGCGAGGGCTGCAATCATATTCGTCAGAAAAGTTTTTTTTGGCCATATGACGAACAATATTTTTTGCCATGACGGCCGTAGGCAGAGATTCACGGACGCGGAGCGAATCGGCCATGTGACGAAAATCGCTATTTTAGCACTGCTGCTACGTTCACCTCGTGCCGAAAAGTGCCTTTTTGTTTACTAGCCCCGTGAAGTTAGCAAGGTTATCAGATCGGGTCGGCAATTAGCTCAAAAATACTCAAAAATAATTTTATGTGCTTTTTTTCTGCAGAAAAATTAAATTTTCTGCTCAAATATTTTGGCCAAAAAATCGATTTTTGAGTGTGAGGCGTTAAGCTAACAGACCAATGGGGTCGAATGGGGATAATTCGTGCATAATGGCAAAGAATTAAAGATGTGCCTATTTTTTACAAGAAAATAATTTTACTTTTCCGGAATTTTCTTCGAATTTTCCAGGACGTCAGATGTGGTCAGATGAGAGTAAAGGTATAATGGGTTCCTCGGATCCTAGCATCGGCGGACACTTTCGGGGAAATATGTGCTTCTATTTGAAGTCCGTTCAAAATTTTCTCCATAAATATTTAGGTGGAAAATTCAATTTTTTGATTTGGAGCATTTATCTAGCAGACCAATGAGGTCGGATGGGGATAATTGATGCACAATAGTGAAAAACTAAATATGTGCTCATTTTCTGCAAGACAACAATCAGATTTTTCCGGAATTTTCCCCCAATTTCCCAGGACATCAAATATGGTCAGATGAGGGTGGGGTATATCAGGTTCCTCGGATCCGAGTATTCGGTGGGCATATTCGGAGATACATGTGCTTCTATTTGAAGTCCATTGAAAATTTTCTGCTTCAATATTTTGATGGGAAATTCTTTTTTTTTATTCAGCGCATTTATCTAGCAGACCAATGGGGTCGAATGGGGATAATTACTGCACAATAGTGGAGAACTAAATATGTGCTCATTTTCTGCAGGAAAATAAATTTTATGTTCCCCAATTTTACCCACATTTCTGGGAAGGTTAAATATGGTCAGGTACGGGTCGAGGAATACCAGATTCCTCGGACCCTAGGATCATTGCATCCCTTCCCGAAAATATGTGCTTCAATTTAAGGCCCATTATAAATTTTCTGCACGATTACTAAGGGCCTGAGTTCTCACCAATCTAAATGGGTAAATTCAAAGTGGCTCCCTTGGGCCCCCCGATGGGTGAATTCCATCATTGAATCATGCACTTCAATTTGAGGCCATTTAGAAATTTTCTGCTTGAGTAATGAGCGCATGAGTCCTCATTGACCTGAATGGGTGAATTCACAATGGCCCCCTTGGGCCTCGGACTAAGTCAATATATTCAATGAATCATGTGGTTCAAGTTAGAGCCCATTAGGAATTTTCGGCATGATTACTAAGGGACTGAGCCCTCACTGATCTGAATAGGTCTATTAAAGATGACTCCTTCGAGACCTCCCCATGCCTTACGCCAGTCAATGAATCATGTGCTTCAATTGAAGGGCCATTACACAGGGTGTCCCAAGATGATTTGTACGGCTAAATAATTAACTAAAAAGTAGTTAAACACGAAAATGTTTCAGACCAAAGTTATAGGGCTTCAAGGGGGAAAAGAAATGAGAAGCATTTTTGAGCACAAGTATTTATGTTTCTATGGTACAAGCATAAGTCCATTTTTTTTAATGGCACCAACAATTTTCGTCTTACAAAAGTTGTTGTACTCGGCGAGACGAATACAAGGGTATGACACATGAAGTATTTTTTATGTTCTTGGGCTAATATTACCAAAAATTGAGAACAATGAAACAAAATTCTCGCGAAAAACTTTTTCGCGTTTAATGACTTTATAGCGAGTTATTTAGCCGTACAAATCATCTTGGGACACCCTGTATATTGTGTGACCGGTTATTGAGGGCCTGAGCTCTCACTAATCTATGTGAATCGATATATTCAATAAAGCATGTGCTTCAATTTGGAGTCCATTGGGAATTTTCTGCTCGATGACATTATTGTGATGTTTCAATGTTTAGACCTGAAAGTGAAGCAGATGATTCACAGAAAGGATTGCTTCCTTGAGCCCCTAGGCCTCTTGGGCCTCAGAATGGGACACTCATTCTAGGGCCTAAGGATGCCATCTTAAATTGAATCGAGCAGAAAATTTCTTAATGAGCCTTGAATTAAAGCACATGATTTATTGAAGGTATTGAATCATTAGGAGGACCGAGGAATTGGCTCTTCAGATCGATGAGAACTTTGACGCTTAGTAGTTGAGCAGAATATTCCTAGGGTGCCTTTAATTGATGCATATGATTTACTGATGGTATTATTTTTTGGGGGGACTCAAGAAAGCCATCTTGAATTAACGCATTCAGAACAGGGGAGTCTCCAGCCCATAGTGATCAAGCAGAAAATTTCTAGTGGACCTTAAATGGAAGCGCATGATTCATTGAATGTATTAAGTCATCATGGGGCCCAAGGAAGTCATCTTGAATTGACCCATTCAGACCCTTTGTAACCGAGCAGAAAATTTATAACGACTCTGAAATTGAAACACATGATTCATTGAATGTGGTGAGGCATGATGGGGTAAATCGTTTTTGCTTATTCAGCAGTTTTTAATCAATATCTTCGAATCCAAGAAAGATAGCGAATTTTTCGTTAAAACGATTTTAGTAGAGCGAATTGAGAGCTACAAAAACGGTCTGTTTGAGATTGAAGCTAAACTGAGATGCCGGTTGAGGAAAAGTGGAATTGTGGAAGGAGGTGGAAAATTAAAACACGCGGAATTATAAAACCACTGCTGATGTACTTTATTGTGGAATAACCCACGCGTTTTGATAAATTAATGATGTTACACGGTTGATTTGCTCGACAACGTCAATTGAATGATGATTTGAAAAATGCACTGCACTTGAGATTTTCTCGATATTAAACTTGATGATTGACTCAAAATAATTGATAGTTAATTCGGAATTAATTGATAATTGAATTAAATAGAGACGCTGTACGAAGTGCTAAGTTCAAATATACCGCGTTGATGTACTCCAGTGATGTACTCGATTGAGCGATTACGGCGATACAATACTGTGATTAGCGTGACTCTCTCGGTGTCTAGAGCGATACTACAGACTTTTCGGCGATTTTGTTCGTAGCTGACCGTGACCCCGAAGGGTCCCGAAGTTTCTCGAGATTTTCGTTGAGCCCGGTGACCGTTTGACTAGTTTGAATAGCTGGATTTCAAACATCCCGAGGGTCATTCATCATCAGAGATCATGAATTGTGCGTTGAATTTTTCTGCTGCTGCTTCTCTGCGATAATTAATCGTTAACTGGCTCGGGATCGTCTTCTGGGGGATGTTCTGCTGGTGGAGGGTCTGTCGGTAGGAGACAGAGCTTGGTGATGGGTCTGATGAATGTCATGCTGGTACTGGTGATTCTCTCGATGTTGGGGGTACCATCTGGTCGAGTTGGTACTACTGCTCGTGATATTTTGGTGGTTGCAACTCTTGTGAGGCCATCTTCTCCTGGGTGAACTGCCACTACTCTACCGAGTGGCCATTTTGCTGATGGATAGTCCTCGTCGACCATCAGGACCATGTCTCCAACTTTGATGTTTTCTCGTCGTTGATTCCACTTGTAGATAGCTTGGTATCTTTGAAGACACTCTCTGAACCACCTGGACCAGAATTGTTGTATTTTCTGGGTGATCAGATTCCATCTCGGCAGCTTGCTGGGGTTCTCATTGATGATTGATGGCTCTGGAATCACCTGTAGAGGCTCACCGATTAGGAAATGACCTGGCGTGAGTGCTTGGAGGTCTTCTGGGTCATCTGACATTGGTGTGATTGGCCTGGAATTGAGGCAGGCCTCTATCTGGATCAGGATGCTGTTGAGTTCCTCGTAGGTGAATGTTGTCGACCCAAGTACTCTTTTGAGATGATATTTCGTTGATCTGACAGCTGCCTCCCATTTGCCACCGAAATAGGGTGCTCTCGGTGGTA